ATCTTGGATTATAGCCTTTAATATTTTTTCGTCAAAATCCCATTTAAACAATTTCAAAAATTAATTACAAATAATATCTATTTATTCTCAATAATTCATAATTATTAAATTCGAGAAATATCGAAATTCGAAATCTCAATTCCTCAAATATAAATAATATATATATAAATATTAATTTTATTAAATATATTAAAATATTAATTTTATAATATATAATATTTATAAACAATTAATTAATTAATCAATATTCCTATTCAATTACAATAAATATTTATATTAAAATCCATATATATATACATATTTAAAATATATTATATAACATAAAAATATATTTTATATCACAAAAAATATTATTAATTTTATCTAATAAAAATTAACTATTTTATTTACATATATATAATAATAACAAATAAATAAATAATTATCAACATTATATTAATATCTTTATTTTTTCAAATATAAATTTATTTTATTAATTATATTTTAAATTATATATTTATATAACTATTTTTTAATAAATAATATTATATTAAATATACAAAACATATTTCCAAAAGATATCTATTCAATAATTATTTTATATTCTATATTTATATATATATAATGTTTTATTTATGGTGTGCGTTCCTTGGATATTCGATCGATATCAGGAATATTTTCAATTATTTGATTGTATCATCGATCAAAAATTGCAATGAACAAACAATATATTCAAATCTCCTGGTATTCCACCATCTACCCTGAATTCAATTTCACAAGTTGTTTCAGAACCCAACCTTAAGTGCATACAGCATGTCCAATGAATTCTTCATTGAACCTAACTCAAAGTCCCAGTCGCCAAGCGAGACCTCGACCGTCTTCTCAAGGGCACGCCCAGCACACGCTCAAGTGCCTCAAGATGGGCCAATTTTCAGAACGCTCTGGGAGGCACCTGGAAGCCTGGGAGGCACCTGGGAGGCACCTGGACGGACTTCGAAGGATTCCGCTTCGGACCCCGGCCACTCGAAGGACTTCTGATTTGAATCGAAGAAAAACTGTACCATCTCGACTTCTTGTGATGAACGTCTCCTCTGTTGATGATGGTGCCCACAAGTGCCGCTCCTCTCTGTAAGCTGGGCCCAATCTGGCTTGCCCATGTTCCACCTGGCACAAGAGGATGCAAGCAGATGCAAGCTGCTGTGCAAACACTGTAAATTAATGTAAATTAATAGTCGTGCTCTAGAAACCTCAATGGTGTTCTATCAGAACATGTTACACTCCCTGGAACAAAAATAGAAGCGGACATATACAGATGAAAATGCGCCCTTGGAAAACAATTTTCCTCTACAATCAGGTCGTTGTCCATTCCAAACAATTCCTTGTGCTGAACCTTCTAAAGAATCACACACGCCAAACAAAACTTATCCTCAGCCCTGAACCATATGTTTTAAATTGCGCCCTTTTCTTACCTAGGTTTCCAAAAACTAAATACGCCTTCATGGAATGCGGCGTTGCTTTTGCTGTTCGATGGGATTTCTACGATCCGTCTCCCTTGATGCTGCCCCGTTCCATCCGCTTCCCGAACCGCGTTGCTCCCTGTTCCTGCGGGGCCCCGAGGGAACCCGAATTGCTCGACCGATCACTCCCGCTAGGTGGATCGAAGCTCCCAAAGGATCCCGGATTGGAAGAGCTATCAATTCATTGGGGTCACTCCAGACTCAAAGAGTTAGCAACTCTTCCAATCCGGATGGTCTGGGGGTAGTCCTGAGAACGAACGGCGCACGGAAAGGGCGTGCCATGATCAGGTACTTCGTTGGGATGGTGGTCGCCTCAGGCCGAAACGGCACGAAATCCGTACAGCCAAAGGGCGCCACTGCGCAGCTGCAATTCTCTTTTACCCACATCTTTCAGCTTCGGACGATTGGGCCATGTTTTCTGCCCTGAAATCCTGAGATGCCACTTTTTTGGCCGTGGGGCCCCTCAAATACACAAACTTGCCTCAGCAGCAGCTGTTACTTGCGCGGGCAGAGCTGGCCGCGCGCGCGGCCCGCTTGGCCTCTGCGTCCCGGGCATAGTAGGTCATCGACCAATGCAGCCACCTTGTCTCGACGCAAATGCCACGAACCGGTGGAACCGACCACGGCCAGCCGTGTATGACATACAAATGGGACATGTGCTGCGCAGCATAGCACAGGGAAATTAGGTCCCATCATGTCCCATCTTGATATTCTGGACATTTCTGGGCTCATTTGGCTTGCCCCATGGCCAAGAAGAGGGGTAAATGACAATAGTTTGGAATCATGATCTGCATCTGCTCATGCTCTGAAGGTTTGTTTCGAAGCCAAGTAGCATTGCCACGATGGTAGACACACACAGCCCGACAAAGCTCTGGATAAATGCCTCACCGCGTTACACCATAACCACCGAACACGTCAGTGCGACGTGTCACCTCTATGTCAAATGAACTTGCTTGATTTGTCCAGCTTTGCTGCATGTATTATATACATAGTTTTTACAAATACCATATGCTACGCACAATATTAGCTATATAACTACCCCGGTTTTTAAGTTGGGAACGAGCTTTTGGCTGCATTTTGTTACTCTCCATGCTTGCATGAACTCCCCAGTTTCAAACCGATTTCCAAGGAGTCGAATGGCTTTGATCGAGTAACGCTGTGAAGACAAAATACTCTGCCTGTTGTGTGAGATCCTACAAATCAGAGCGTAGATTTGCGGCGACCATTTTGACATATTTTGAATGTTCGTTAAAAAAACGTGGGACCCAACAGTGGTTCACTGTTCACATTGGCTATTCAGTGTCCTTTCGCATGAGGGACTTGACGGTCTGGGAGGCGACTGACGGTCTGTTGCGGACGGGCGCCATCTGGCCCGGAGGCAAAATAGGAAAGAATCTGCTGTCAAAGAATGAGAGAAGACAAACTAATCTGAATTTGTTATAATTTGTTGATGTGCACTAAGACAATTGAATTTACATGTCAATACGAAAACTAGACACGAACTGGAAACAATCGGCAGAAGAGCATTGGGCCCCAGGCCTTCATCATTTCCCCCCCCCAATTCAATGCAAAGTCACTTTTGGAGGAACATCTACCAATCCTGCTGTCCTGCTGTTGATGGACTAAATCCACCACCAATGATTCCCGAAAACAAGTTCTCCTATTTGCAGGTGCGATCGACGCTCTGCCGACGACGATACATCGTCGCTTACTTATCGAGCCCGGGAGCCTCAACAAGGCCTTTGTGTAAGAGGTCTGATTGGACCTCAGCTGAAGACCCCTACAAATGAAGATTGCAACCAAACTGTGGCAATTTGGTTGGAGGCCATCGCTATTAGGTTGGAGGCCATCCGATCAGAGGTCATATCATTTCATGCAGTAGATGGTCGTTACATGTCGTTACATGCAAAGGAGCTGTGTTTGGATCCACAGATTTGATTTGCTCGATCAATTCGCTGCAATTCTATCTGCCTGGTGATTCAGGAATTACATGTTTAAAACACATGCAGGTCTCTTGCTTGAGTCAAAAGCCAAGTTCTCAAGTTTCTGCAGATCAAAAGAAGTCCAAGCTAACTGGCTAACTGATGCAAGACATCAAGACATCATGAACGACGCATAACGACGCTGAGAGGCCGCTTCCGCATCCTCGAACCAGCGCACGAAGATGGGCCGCTCCGGCAAGTGCCAACCATGGACCTACCATGGACCATTGGACGGCCACATCGGTGGATTTCAATCGAGCTTCTCAGCTTCTCGTGTCAACCATGGGCGATGTATATATTTCCTCCAACTCCAACTCATGTCGCAACCAGCGAGCTTGATGATCGGGTCTTTTTGGGTGGCCAAAGTTTACAATGGACATTCAGCAAAGCCACTCTTTTCCTATATAGTATAAGTCCATTCACATCATGGAGAGTCTTGTGTGTTCCAAGGAATGCTCCAAAGATTTCCATCCAAACGCGTTGAGTTCCGACTCAAGTTCTTTGGTCGGTTCGTTGGATGTTCAAACGGACTCCCAGAGGTGAGGACCTCGGCCAATTGCTCCGCAGCAACTCGGAAGTGCTGCCACCTGTGCAAGTGGGAGCAAAGCCATGCAGGACTCCATGTCTTCTGAGTGAAATGCCCCAAGATCCACCACACAAATGAGGCTCCCTCAACTCTCAAAGGAACCTGTCAACATCTGTCAACTTGGCACATCAAACAAACCGGGAGATGGCAACTGTCTTGCAGTTGTTTGTACTTTACACCTGGTGACTCGAGTGTTTACAAATGTCTACAAATGCTTTAAGACCGCCATCAGTGAAAATCCTCCCACCGACAGCCCTCCACACCACACGATCGAGACCTTGCAGCGTTATAGCTGGAGGAATGCGCTGGCAAAACCACGCCCGTCCTACACCGAGCAGTTGGTCGCTTGACTTGCTTGACCCAGCTCCACTAAACAAATCAAAACAGCCTTCTGATGCCCTCTTGCTGGTGCGACAAAGAGGGAATGGATTCGTTCTCTACAGTCAAGTGGAGTGGTTTCTCTCCAGCGACCCAGAAAAAGAACATCGGATGCCCTCATTTGCTGACCAGTCCAAGTCCGCAAATGGTCCCTGAGCGTGCTTGAAATTGATGCTCTGTGTTACGCTTGTCTCATCAAACATGGAGAAATCCCCTGACACCGATGAAACTCCCTACACTACCACATGACTGGAACCCAGCAAATGTGGAAAGTCCCTCCAAAGTGGGAATCAGTAACCCATCAAATCCATGAACTTGGACGTCCCATCTTCCGCTCCACCACCCAAATCTTAGGACTTCAAGGACCGTCTCCTGGCAGAAGCCATGGTGGCATCGCCACACAGAAAGCTTCGCCGTGGCTCGCAGCAATCTACACCCGCAGCGAAGAAGTGCACGGCCGACGGCTGTGCGGGATCCTGAGCAGGGAGGGGCATGAGACGGTTCTGAGACAAAGAACAAAACAATGATGCGTGTGTTGCCTGGTGTCATGAAGTCTTAGGGTAAGTACCAAAATGTATCAAGTGACAGAAAATGGCCGTGGTAAGTTGGTGTTCTTTACTTCTTTTGCATTGGTAACTGCTTGATTTACTTACAACAGTGGACAGTGGAACCCATGTCATTGATGTTATACTGCGACTGCAACCTAAATTTATGCTTAATATTCCATACCTGGAACTTCCTCAGAGTGGTTTTTGGTTTCCTTCAGCCTTATATTTGAGTCTGCGGATGTTTCTCTAGTTTGCTGACTATTTTATGATATTCCACGAGCTAAGGGCGTGTATTGGTGAGCCACAAGCGTTTTTCCCGAACGTGTTTTTTTGTTCACCTGTCAGCGGATGTTTATTTTGGTTGCGGATGTTTATGTGGTTCACAGACCTAAATAAAGGTATGTTGAACCACCGACCCCAAAAAGCAACCACAAGGTTGCAGGTATGTGTGCGGCACTTGCTCAAATTCTTCCCTCATGAAGCTTGAGGGATCCAACCTTTTTCGTTTCGGCACCCGGCACCGATCGGTCTTGCGATCGGTGTCGACAAGATCTGAGTCGTTCGCCCGAAGCCATATTTCTGCTTGGTAGGAGATGCACTTAGTAGGAACCCGAGAGTTAGACCCCCCTTCCATGTGCGTATGGGCTGTCGACGGGCTGTGTTAGACAGTGCGGTAGCGGGCAGAAAGGTGCGTTTACTTCGATCCACTATCCGATCCTCGAGAGCGTTAACGAAACAAGCAACGGTACACAAGAATCGATTCAAGGTGCACTGTTCGCAGAAGAACGTCAGGTCAGTCCCAATCAACTCTTATAAATGCACTTGATGGATGGATAGGAAATTGATGGAAATCATGCATTTTGCATAATGTGAGACTGGAATAGTTCAATGATATGTACGACTGACATAGTTTGGCCAAAATTGATTGAATCTTGTGAATCCCAAGCATTCTGGCCCGTTGGCGTTCTACATTTGTCTCCAAGATCTCTGTTGCTTTCAGGACTGTTGTTCTCATTATCCGCAGGAATCCCAATGAAGAGCCCTTCCATGTTACAATGGGTACCTGAATACAAAAATATGCAGAGTCTTGTTCCGTACAAAGACTTATATAAGCGATTTTAAATCGGTAAGGTGCGCACTCAGCTATATTGGGCCAACTGATGCAACATATTCTTGTTGAAATCTCCATGCAGTGCAGTTACTTTTTGTCACACTTCTCCACACTCCTCGTCTTTTTCACACACACACACACCAAACCGGACACACTCTGGTGTCCAGGCGCCACGATGGGCGCGACGCAATAAGTGCTGCTCCCACCGAATGGCCGGCTGCCAAGCACATGCTGCAAATCCAGCCGAGCCGAGGCCTGAACTGGCCGAGGCCGTGGCCAGCCCGAGCCGAGGTGCCGGCGTGGCGTGCGTGTTTCCCTTCCCAGCTTGGATCTGAGAAACCGTTTCGATCCTTGTTCTCAGTAATTATAGTCTTAGTAACATGACACCTAGGGATACCAAGGAGCCCAATTCTATGCCCGCGTGAGTTTCATGAGTTTCTGGATACCAAGCGGCTGAAAAATCAATGATGCCGGCATCCTGATAGGCATCCGGCGACCTTGAGGGGGCCTAGGCTTTTTGAGCTTCACAACATTGCAATCCATCAGAAGCTGATGCCGTGATGCCCAAGATCAACAATAGAACTTGAATGTCTGGATGAATTCCGTGACTTGTCCCTTTTCATCTCATTGCAGCCAAGTGCACCACGTTTTTGTAGGTCACTCCAGACTGGTGCATCCAATAGCTGGACATCTCAGTGACAAAGATGTGATGGCCCACCATGGGCCCAGCGAAACCGCTCAAGAGGACCTCGGCGGTCGTTCTTCACCAACAAAATCCAACAAAAACGAAAAGAAGCTCTGGAAAGAGCAGAGGCAAACCGACAAACCACTGCCCGAAGGCGTGAGCACAGGCTGTTCCATTTTGGGACCAAATTGGTGGCAAGTTTCCTCAGAGTTACTTCTGTGATTTTGGTCACTGTGGCATAAGACATCAAAACATTACAGAAATTCTTGGTCTTTCACACATGAATCCCTGAGCTGGTTTCCTTCAAAGTGCGACCCCACGCAGCACCAACACGATCAGTCCACCATCAGCGAATATGGAGGAATCGCTGAACCCGCTTGCCACGTCTTGCTGAGAGAACAATACAACCTAATAGCGATGGCCTCCAACCAAATAGGAATGGCCTCAAGCCGTCGGGTCCCGAGGCACCGTAATGGTCAGCAGCTTGTAGAGGGGGCTGCGATGCCGCCTCTGAAGCTCGTAGCTGCCCCCTAAAGCGGAGCCCGGAGGGGCCAACGGCCACTGATTGTGGCTTCATTGCTTTGGGTGTTGGCGTGTGTGCAAGTCCCCACCTGCTGCTGAGAGGACGAGCACCAGGCAAGCCAACGCTAAAAGGCTCCAGAAAAGACCTGAAGTTTGGGGCTGGCTTCTCATGCCACACATTGGGGAGCGTGCGATTGGCTGGGACGAAGGTGAGACAAGGCTGGGGGTAGCGTGCATGAAGTCTGTAAGGTCAACTCCATCATCTTATAGAACAAATACTTTAAGGAACCAAATAACGATGGCAATGAGCTTTGATCATGCCCGTATGTGGGACACACGAATTCTTTCACAACCTTCTCTCATCGACCGTCTGATGTTCTCGGACGGAATTGCCGGACCAACCGGACCGACACTGTGACAGCACATGTTCGCACGCAGTTCCCACCTGGTGGCGGCAACCCAAAAGCAAGCAGCAAGAGTACCTGGTGGCAGCACTGCTAGGGCTAGGGGTTTGAAGTCCGAATCTTCAAGACTACATAATAACCAACCTCAGGTTTGTGCTGTCTTGTTGACAACTCACTACTTCAACTTGTGCAGTTGGGGCTAAGAAGCCATCTGACTTCCAGATGAACGTCTTGCTCCCAAAACGGCCCTCAATCCTTTTCGTGGATCACCGGATCCCCTTTCGCTGAAGTGATCGATCCTGAGCCCCCGGACGTAGCAAAGCCAGGGCGAGAAGATCAAGAGCGCCACTTCTTGGGTCACCTGAGTGCCACATCCACCGGAAGTGCGAAACGCGCGCCCGTGGCCCGTGCTAGCCGCCTAGTGCGCCCCTCGCATCTGAAAACCACACACCAACATGTCCGTTTGGGAAAAGAAAACAACACAGGCACAACAAAAGCACCAACGGTGTTCTTGTTTGTCCAGATGTTGGGCTCGTCGAAGGTCCCTTTAAAAATGGATGTTATCCATGTTGTCCACATAAAAGTGAATATATATATATATATATAATTATATATATATACACACTGTTGTATATACTACTGTGTGTATATATACATAAGCAAAAATCAAAGTTGCATGACTTCCACCGGTGTCCCTCAGTACAGCATCCAGGATTTCTTTTGACAAGCAAACTCATCTCTAGTTAAGCTTTCTCATTGGGCTGAAAGCAAAGAGACATCATTACTTGACATCCTACACTAGGGGAGGGAAATGTTTGGATAAACATTGTCAAACACTTTGATGCGGATTCCACATACTCCCAATCACGTCCTGAAGAAAAAACCTGTCAAGCACCGCACGTGTCAAGTTGTTTGAACTTCGGACGCGTCTTGGACATCGCACCAAACCCCACAGGCCGCCATACCCATCGACTCCGAATTCCCATTGAACACCGACAGGACGAAAGGAGCACCTCTGAGCACCTGACCAAGTGTTCTCTTTGAGTCCAGCTGATGGGCTCGGTGGACTTATAGTCCTTATAGTCATAGCCCTGGAGCGGAACGAAAGGAAGACTGGCAACTTTTTCGCCATTGCGACGGAAAGACAAAGAAAGGTGAGAAGGAAAAGCGCAGTCAATCTAAGACTAAGAGTGTTCACGCATCCTTCACTTCCAGTAAGGTGGAAGAAACAATTCGTCAATGGGCCATGTGCAGCCCACATGTTGCGCCAGCTCACCCACACCAAACTCAGCTTACCTCCTCACCTTTCCAACCACGCTCGGTTTGGGTGTTCCAAAAACCGCCCAGCTCCGGTGCTTTACATCGCTCCCACACCGCCTGCACGTCGGTCAGGAAGGGGTCGCCACGTCGCATTGCCGACTGGTCGCCACGTCCCCTGCTGACCGGCGCAGAAACAACTGACTTGGGTTCGCATGTCAAACATCTGTTTCAGAAACCCATATGGCCCATATCTCATATCCAATTTCAAACAATTACATCCAGTTTGGGAATTTCAAGAGCTTTCTCACAAATTTGAGGTGGAACTTCATGGTTTACGGCGCCCGCCTTTTTATGGGGGTCGCTTGGTCAGCACGCCCTCACCACATGCGATCGAAGACTTCGTTGATGCGGTCTTTCTCCGCGCGCCCCATCGAACACGCGAGACACTGAGAGAGCCAAAGTGTCAGCGAGAGGCATCAGGTTGGTGACAAACAGGGCCAGTGCTCATCTTCCACATCGATCAGGGGACTTAGGCCGCGTTTTTTTAAAAGGAGTTTTTTCCGTTTTTTTTTGGGATTTTTTTTCTGGTCCTGTTGTGGGCGCCTTCCCTCAGGCTCGTGTCTCCAAAATGATAGTTGTTTCTCCGCAAGCTGGCCACCTGCAAGTGCTCACCTTCTTTCCTTCCTTCCTTTCTTGCTGCCTTCTTTCCTTCCCTTCCCTTCCTTCCTTCCTTCCTTCCCTCCTTCCTTTCTTCCTTCCTGCATCACATAAGCAAAGCAAGGATAGCGAACAGCCACAAAAGCAAAAAGCAACAAAAGCCAACAGAAGCCTTCGAAAGTCAACACAAGTCACCAAAAGCCAACAGAAGCCAGCAAAAACCAACAGAAGCGAGCAACAGCTACCAGAAGCCACTAAAAGCCACCAGAAGCCAACAAAAGCCACCAGAAGCCACCAAAATCCCACAGAAGCCAACAAAAGCGAGTAAAAGCCACCAGAAGCCAGCAAAAGCCGCCAGAAGCTAGCAAAAGCTACCAGAAGCCACCAGAAGCCAACAAAAGCCAGCAAAAGCCAACAGAAGCTAGCAAAAGCTACCAGAAGCCACCAAAAGCCACCAGAGGCCAACAAAATAGCCACCAGAAGCCAACAAAATAGCCACCAGAAGCCACCAAAAGCCACCAGAAGCCACCAGAAGCCACCAAAATCCAACAGAAGCCAACAAAAGCCACCAAAAGCCAGTAAAAGCCACCGGAAGCCAGCAAAAGCCAACAGAAGCTAGCAAAAGCTACCAGAAGCCACCAGAAGCCAACAGAGATACCTAATGCCTAAACGTGAAAAAAATTCCCAAAAAAAAACGAAAAAAAATCCTAGAAAAATATGAGTTCCGGGGACTTAGAGCCTTTTGCATGGGCAACGTCTTCTCAGACTAATCGACCAAGCAAAGTTTTGTTTCAGTAATCACCCAGAGTCTCTCAGTCACAGTCTCTTAGTGACTGGCCCAGCCAAGCTTCCAGATTGGAATGCGTTTGGACCTCGGTGAACGTTGCTGAGCCGTTCTTTTTTGCCCGCGAGTTGGAAGAACAGTTCCAAAAGTTCTGCCTTGGAGATCTTGGATGATTTTCAACGCACCACCCAAAACATGGAGATTCTACCACAGCTTTAGAAACGACCCAAATCTTTGAGCATGGAGACCATGCAAAAAAAGAAACGACGAAGACCCCCCTCCAGTAAAAGTAAGCCTCCGAACATGGAAAACATCTCCTGATGCTACTCCAAGTGGCTGCCGCGCAAACTGCAAGGCTTTCCCTTCATGCTCAAAGCGTTCAGGTTGCCATCCCTCACACGCAAACCAAAAAAGAGTAGTCGAGAGTCACGGGGAAAATGCCATCAACCACATGAGTTTTGCTTTTACAATGGGGTTCTTGGATTGGTGCTCCGTGCTCCGTGCTGAGTTGGACACGTGGAGAACTGGGGATGGTTTGATCAAGCAAAGCATCGCGAGGAGTCGTTCGTGCCTTGCTGGTTTGTGGGAAGAGCCACTGGCGCCAACGCACCTGCCTAGCGCAGCGCTGGCGCATGGCGCTGGCGGGTGAAAACGACCTCGACCCTAGTCCCAGCCAGATGAATTGCACCAACAACAAGACAACAAGCATAAACTGCAACACTGAGAAGAAGCACTTACGGTAAGTTGAGGCGTCCAGGTCCGAAAAAGGAATTTCAACCCGTTCTTTTGGAGAAACATCTCCTCTTCTGCTTCGCTGTAAACATGACGAAGAAACGACCAGCCAACACGTGTGTCATTTTCTCCCTAGGGCCCTTTGGGGGGTTGAGGATGTTTTGGCCATAGCCAAGTATAAGTTATACTAGTACAGCTGATTGATATTCAACTGACTTACCAAGTAGGTTCACAACTTGCAACTAAAGCACTGCAGTACCAGGATCATCCAAGGCCTGCTAGGTGGTGTGTCGTTCTTTTGGTCCATATCTTATCCCACATGCATGTAATCACTTCACAACCAGTTCCTAGCCTGCACATGAGTTATCCCAGATGCTCATCATGTGAATCAGTCAATCCAATGCACCCTCCCCGCCTCGCAGCGGGGCCGAAATGCGACACCTTTCGCTTAGTGTGTGTGTGTGTGTGATGGCCGAGCATGATCATGCGAAGATGGCCCCTGATGCAACACAGATGAGTTGAAGGCGCAAGCTGTTCAAACACAGGGAGGGCTACTTCTGCCCAGGTATCAAGAAGATTAAAAAGCAAACTAATAAATGGCAAAAACTGAAAGTGTAAACGTCGAACCTATCCCCAAACTGCATCAACCGTTTGCCCACATGCCGTTGTTCAGCCCCACCTGCGTGGCGGCCCGGTTCATCAAGGAAGATCCCTGGAGCGATGTGGAGCCGAAACGAAAAGCCCATGGAGCCACCACAAGAATCGCTTGGAGTCACTTCCAATAACTGTCCTGCATGGGTTCCAAGGCCAGCGGCTGGCGGTGAAATGCTTAAGTGCCAGAGATGGATGGGTTTGACGCAGAATACTGTTTGGTTCTCTTCTTACTTGTCGTCTGAGTAAAGTGGTCCTATCATGTCCTATCTAGATTATGTACATGGATGCTGGATGCTGCACCGAATGGTCCAAAAATGGCACAAGCACAGATTCTTGCACTGCAACACAAATCTCTTAAACTAAGTCAAAGTATCCTTGAGCTTCGCAAGTGGCAACCCAAAAAGCACCACCACCAAAAACTGGAAGTTCGTCATCTTAAGAATTTGGAGGACCAAACTGCCAACTGTCGAACTTGCATGCCATCACCATTCAACTGACAAGACCACACATAATAGTACTTGTACCTCTTCGCAACTTGCTATCAGTGATCTTCTTCGCATCTAACTACCGACAGCCAGAGTTCGCATGCCCATGCTGTCGTGTCCGGCATGACCCGACGAATCACCGTCGACAAACCGGACCTGTGGTCGATGGGCTCGGTGCGCAGGTGGTTTAGAGTTAGTTTTTGACATCTAGCGGCTAGCGTTCATACTCGTTGGGTGGCAGGTTTCTATATTGCTTGTCCGGGGGTGCTTGGATAGCTTCTGCACTTGCCACTGATGATCATCTTACCAAGGCACTGACAACTTGGCAAATGGGAGCCGGACTTAGAAACATCTGTACTCCGGAAGCATGTACCTGCTGCCATCCTTAATAGTACAAAGGTTGAACTGTATTTATATTGTATGTTGTATGTAATATATACACAAAATGTTTTATTTATATTGATTGTATATATTACTTTTTAAATCTACGTGTATACACCCAAATATATGTTTGGCAAAACACTGGACACTAGCCAACCTTATTTGAGCTTCTCCTGGCGAAAGCACGCCGTGCTTACAATCACTTTCAATTCATACCTCTTTTTGCATTAGCAATGAATTAATTCTGTTGAAACTAGGTACAGTAATTCGAAAACAATCAAAGCCTCATGGAGGAAGCTGCTCCATTCTCCGATGAACATTCAGGAATCTCCTGTTTTTCTGGATGCAGCAACCCCAATTGGCACAAATTGCAACTCCATCATTGTCAGAAAGCTTTGTCACCTTGGCCTTGGCAATAAAAGCACACATTGCTTTTGAGTATCTTCGAACTATAATTTAGGATCTGTCACTGCCAATGATGGATCTGTCTCATCAACTTCATGCAGGAAGATCTCGAAGGTGCGAAGGTCAGCAGTGTCACCTGATTCCAAAAACGTGCTCATCCTCTTCCCCGATAGCCGATAGACCTGTTAAATTTCTAACATTGGTTGGTTCTGGAAACTCTTCACTTCTGTGTTTTTATTTGAGGCCAACGATTTCAAGGATCTTTTCAATGAGCTTGTTGTGTAATACTCCCAACTGTGGCAGGGGGAGGCAAACTCCTGCCATAGGAACCCTCCAATTGATATTTCCTGCAGTGAATCATACATTATCCACTTTCTGCCGCACTCACAATGACTGTGGTGACTGAAATAAGTTTGTGTTTTTGTTGAGTTCTCTTGCATGTGAGGTTGCCATTTGATCAACAAGTGTTGATGAACATAAATCCTTGTCGATAGATGTAGTCCAGAATGACCTCATTCTCTATGTTGCTCAGTTTCCATCCACTTTGACATCTTTTGACTCCCTATCTCGTTCAAATGTATCGGCATGATTTGAAATGCTGGAATTCGCCTCCGTCATGGACACCTCAAAGGGCATGGTCCTATGCGTGGTTTGACCTGCACAAAACGTCCAGCGCAATAGATTGTTGTTGGGAGACAGGCAAAATGGGCGATACTCATTCATCCCTCTACATAAGGGTCCAAACCCAAGACAATGTATGCACACCTGACCTGCATAACCCTACATTACATATGCATCTATCACCTATCCGTATGTGTGTGCTGTGTGGGCATTGTCTACTATCAGGATCAGGTGCTGCCTAGCCTCTGCAACTCCTAAGTCTGATAAGGCACAAGCTTCAACTAGTTAAAATGCAGCAAAATGCAATGTTGACGTTGAGAGCTGCGCTTGACGACGGAAGGTTACATTGGAAGAAAGAAGCTGACAGTCCGACAGTGGGAAATAATCCAGACGCAGTCTATGTTATATATATTTAGTTATTTCTGGAGGTCATCCAAGGGTATGAATATCGGGCAAACCGGTGTGATTGCAGCCTGTCTTTCCAAAAGCCGCGCATTGCAAAAACAGGTCCTTATTAGATTAATGTTATTCACAAATTGTCCGCCACAAGTCTCAGCCTGGTGGCCTGACGCACTTGCAGATGCGAATCCGCTTGGGGGCACTGCCAATCCCGCCGAACAAAAAGTCGCGAAACAATTCTGCTTAAGCCAAGCATGGCACTACAAATTTGTTGCAATCGTATTTTCACGAAACGAGTCGGAAGAGCTTCTTGGTTCTGCAACCATCTCCCAAAACTTTGTCAGAAAATCTGCTCGGCTGTTCGCTAGCCTAGTCTTCAAAGACTAACAGCCGCGAACAGCTTCGGCCCTCACCTGCGGGGCTGTTCTTTGGCGAGTTCAGGTCTAACTATCTTGACAGCTTAAAAGGGACAAACGGACAAGGCCTTTTGCAAGCTGGGTCAATGAGTCTGTGGCTTTGGAGCACCAGGAATCCCATGATCTGACCGGTTTTCAAAAGGAAAGAACCCCTATATATAATTGCATCTATATAACTTTATATATATATGCTGTATAAGTATATATAGTTATGTAATGTTATGTATATTGCACACATATGCCCAAAAAGCTTGGTTCCTTACAATGGTAACTGGAATCCACTACGTGAAGTTGTATGGTATTGTCCTTGTATAAAAAGGTGTCCAGCTCGGTCCTTCCATATCCAGAGGCATCGCGCTCTATCTTTGATGTCCCCTTGCTTTCTTCCATCTGGCGCCTCGAAGGTTGCCAAAAGGCCTATCTGTCCAAACAAGGTCCAAATGAGTCCTAGAGTCCTTGACATACACGGGCTTTGCTATGTCCTGCTACTAACAACAATGATGCACACCAACTTCATTCAAATTCGTGCAAATAGGTGCTTGCCAAGTGCTTAGTACCCCAAGTCTAGCCGGTTCTTCCCAATCACCTCGACCACGGCAGCCGAAAAAAACCGGCAGCCGCGACCGCTTGAAGACCGCACGCCTCGGCCTGTGCCGAACATTCCCTGCAACGCTTGCAGAGCTGACAGGCCTGGTGTGGGAGTGCGTTCTGAAAAAGGTCGGATGGCTACGGATTGAGAGGATGGCACGGCACGGGCCCCCAAGGTCGGTGGTTTATGAATGTTTATGACCATCTTTTCAAGTGGTTGCGGGCAGGCCATACTGCAGGCCATCTACATCCATCTACTCTGAGGTTTACCTCACTGTGAAAAAGGTACCTTCCGGGCGGCCCAGGGGCCCCGGTCGACCTGCCAAAACTCGCCGTTCTGGCAGCAAAAGGGTCGACCAGGTGGGTACTGAATTGGTTTCTGGTTGTTGCCAACCAATCTAAGCGAATCCAAGAGTGATGGCAGATTTCAATAGACTCATACTCTTCTTTTGTTTCTACTTCCACTCACTGCTCCTTTGTTATCATGTATCTGTAGACATATCCCTCACATCATACATCATAAAACCAACATCTGTGCAGGAGCATGAGGCACACAAACAAGCATATATATATATATTATGTTATACAATACATATCAAACTACAAGGAGCCACCCGGTATCTATGACCCCTTGTGATACTCCGCCACTCGGATGGAACTTATATTTCTGTGCTGGATAAAAAGTAAATAAAACGCCGGATTCTGTGATGCTTTTGGTGTGTGCACTAACTGGTGCAACACCTCCAAATTCCATAATCCATTGATCTATTCAGGTGAACGTAGATGAACTGGCCCTGAAACGATTGAGGTCTGAAACAACAAATTCCTCCGGGTCGATCCGATCTCCGGCCTTCCTGATCCATCTCTGACCTCGGCGAACGGGCCGGGCGAGAGCACTCAGCGCTAGCGAGAGCGCTCAGCGCTAGCGAGAACGCTCAGGGCTAGCGAGATCGTCGTAGCCTCCATGGAGGCATGAGGCATGAAGAACATCACACAGTGAACGGGAAAGGAAATCAAATCGACTCAAACAATAAAACCTGTGTGCACGATTTGAACAAAAAAACAATTCTTGGAAGTAAGTGGCTTGACCTATTGGGCACAAGTTGGATACAACTGGGCCAATGGGGAAAGCCCTAATCATTGATTGACTAGCTGTACTCGCTGAAGTTTTCGTAAAACCGCTCTCTAGGAGATGTGAGAAAATGATACATGTAGCAGAGTATTGGGAATAGTCAGCTACTCCATGCTACTCCTGATCTTGCTCGGCAGAACCAGAGTTTCCTTGGCCCGAAATGAGCAACCTCCGTGCTGTCCGAGAAGCTTGATACTGCGCTTGGAGGAAGAGGTCTCTTTTTGACCTCGATTGGCACTGGAGAAAAACAAAAAGAACACCACCATCTGGGCAGAACCCCCCATGCCACGAATCGATCGGGTCAACGAAACAAGACATCATCAATACCTTACCTTGTTGACTTGATGCTGACATGTTGTTTGCAAAAGGTCTGCTAGCCTCCTGGGCCAGGCAAGTGCTTTCTGTCTTGTTCCTCATCCCCTTGACCAAAGTCTCAGTGAAAACTTCTGCAGATTCGATCAGCACAAAGCAAGACTACAATGGAACAGCTGTTCTGATACACAGCTACCAGTTCATGTCCATCCGAACTTGCAGATGGCCCCACCACTTGCAGGCCACCAGGCAACAGACCGGGCAACAGACCGGGCTGTTCCTTTTTGTTTCGGATCTCGGGCTCAAGGTCTGGTCGACCGGTTGGATGGTCGTCCGACTGGCGGACGATAACCTCTCTGGTTTAGAAACCCAGCGCGAACGGTGAAAACCCGAGTCATCAAACAGACTTGCACAACATATGGATTGTACCAAAGGATCAGGGATAGCCGGCATATGGATTGTCTAGACTATAGACTCTAGACTCAAACGGGTCCTCTATTGGATACCTCCACTTGGTGTGGATCTTTCTTTAACACAAACCACATCAAACGACTGTGCATGGCCCAAGTGTCTGGAGCTTCCCTGTCTACAGCGTCCCACATGTTTCTACAGAGTACCATATTTATCTCTCTCTTGTGGACACATCGACATGCACCTGGCAGGAAGTGGCGGGCCGTTGGCGTCGTCATTTGGCAACGAACCAAGCTCGGATGAAACAGGAAACACCTCTCCGTCCATGGTGCGCCCAGCAGCTGGTGCGGCTTCCTGCGACCCCATGGACAAAAACAGTGGGGGTGGGGGCTGCGGATTGCGCCCAGAAAAGGGTGGCGTTGGGGGGACAGGATGAGATCCACTACTAGAGGGGTCCCATCTTGACCAAACACCACAATGGAACAAGGACTGCCTGATTCCAAGCAAATGGCCTCAAACGAATAAAGCCTTCGAGGAGTGATGATCTCATTCCACAGTAACTCCGGCAAATTACTGAGACATTTGGATTTGGATGTCTGAATGTGTTTTGGCTTGACCTGAAAAATCTATTCATTGAGGCCATCTCACAAGAACACCAGTAATTACTTACCAAATCCAGGGCAGCTCAGGTGTGTGATTAATATTTTTTGTGGTAAAGAAAATTACACTGATACCAGTACTGTAAGAGTCAAGCAGGAAAAATGCAAAAAAAAAGCAAAGTATGAGTACCCAGTGGTTGCCGCTCATGTGCACCCTCTCCCGAAACAGTTTAGAACATGTATCTAAATACCATGCTTTTCAGCCTCGTCGAGCTCTTGGGCTGGTCCGCTGCGGGCTCCAACCTGAGTGGTACGGCCACTGGGTGACTGCCATCTACTTTCACTTCACAGGTGTCTTGTCTCTTATGAACTTGGGCTGTCTTGGCTGACTTCTGCAAGGCTAGGTGCGAGGCTTTGCTAGGTGCTAGGCTTGTCTACTCCGCAAGCAGAGAGGGATTGCATTCGGTCCCCCGAGCAGCTATCTCAGGCTGTTCAAGCAGGAGATGACCACCGATTGTTGGACAACTAAATGAACATATTATCACTTAAGAGCATTTTTGTGAAGCCCTGCGACTGACTACGCCTATGTGAAAGCGTCACTTAGCTTCATCTTACTTAGGCGCTAGGCAGGTCTCCTCATTCGACTCCATCCGTGATATTGAAAATCACATGGGATCTCTCATAGCTTTCGTTCGCAAAGATATATAATGTGTACTTCTCAAGCCGGAACCGGAGATGAATCATGTTTGCCCAACTTGAGTCTTGAAGTCTGGTCCATGTCTTGAAGTGGTGCTGCACCTGGTTCTGAAATAAGACATGACAGTGGACCGCCCGCCGTTTGTTTAAGCCCCAAAGTCAAGGTGATCCACCTCAACCTCTCACCTATTCTCCACTCTCTTGCCCTGAGCCCCGTGCTGAGTGACATGCGCGGGGACCTCTCCAAGGGGCACAGTCCAAACAGGCTTCGTCATGGTGTGCGTGCGCCTTTGGTCGCTGTGAAACATGGTGTGAAAAAAGGGGGGGTGCCCCCTCCACTCCCCTCCAGCCCGAATCTATGTAATTGGAGGTCATCACCTGGCCATACCTGGACCACTGGTCCAAACGGCCTCGCCCCAGTAATTAGCTCCTTTGGACCTCACGCTAATCATGACGAGCATCCACAATCCTCCTGTACTTTACAGTTAACCCCCTTGTCACAAGAAGATCAGGAGTGTCTAGGATTTGACAGGTAGTCTACCACTGGCAGCTCCAATCATCAAGTGTCTCTCAATGGATCAGGTGTTAGTTGTGCTTTTCCCTAAAGCCTTCCAATTTGTGTAGTATCGAATCTAATAATTAATACAATCTGACACAACAAGTACAACAATTAACACCAGAAGATGCAATCTGGCCATCTACACTGATTAAGAGGCCACCACGGGGGCCACCGTGTGCATTTGTCTGTGCCACCTTTGTCCAAAGGTTCCCAAGGGCAGCACGTGGTATCACTTCTCACCGCCCCCGTCGCATCCTCCGATTCCCGTCGCATCCTCACCTGCCATGCTGACCGGCCTCGGTGCGGACAAGTCAGCAACCCTGGATTGGACACGACATGGTCAAACAGGATTGGACATAATCCATGCTAAACGATGAACAGTTCCACTGAAGGACCTCCAACCTGAAAGCCTAAGATGGCCTCCAACCTACAAACGCGATGGCCTCCAACCTATCTAACCCAATCCAAGAGGGACCCAGCAAACGAAAAGGCACAGCCGCCAGGTGGCCGCACGGAAATCTCCCGTGCTCGCCGGGGAGGTGTCTGGGGAGTGCCAGGAGCGGCCTGTGCGGCCATACCCTGCACCGACAGCTAGGCGTGGCCATTGGGCGGGTGAAGGCTTAGGAAACAGGGCCTGCGGTAACCCATCGGAAGCCGTTCTCTTAGCAGCAAATAATGAGCCATGTCCGAGCGGATCTGTTGGGATGCTGGATAGATGAGCCTTGGGTCTGTTGAGTAAATGGCGAGCTACAAACCTGGAAGTCGTCTTGTGGAAACAATATACTAAATGTCCAAGCACCCCATACCAAAGCATCCGAAAGGACAGGAATCATATCAAGAAACACTCCCTCAGTCACAGGATGCACAGGATGTATGAGGGTCATATGGCTGTGGGTGAAGCTGGAGATCTACAGGACCACTGGTCACTGCGATTTCATCTATGTTCCCATAAGTGCCGCCGACGATCTTGCTGGTGCCCCGCCTGAGAATGAGAGGGACCATCTAATCAAGACAATCTGATCACTGTGACTTTGATCTACTTTTCCTCCATCCAATGGCACAGCTGGGACAGGGCCCGCCCTCATCCTCCACCCTGCTCCACGCTGCTCCAGCTGGCACCTCCTCCTCCACCCGACACACCTGAACCAGTCAAACGAGTAAACCCAACGTTTCCGAGCTTCCATAGCTAACCAAAAGGTGATTCTACTACTGGCATGCCCATTCTGACTTAGATTTAGACAAACATACTCTAGGTTTGGGTGAGGTATCTGTCCTACTGCAAACAATGTAGCATCAGGCTGAATCACATCAGCGTGCCACTGGGAATTGATACCCCAAAAGAAATGGAACGAAGCAAAAGGACCAAACTGAATATAAAAAAGTAAGAGGTATACAGTATACTGGTCCAACAAAATCAATATAATAAGAAGAACACATCAAAATAATGCAAACCAATATCTAAACATTAATAACAATAGCAATAATTTTGAACACCGATATATAAACTATTATACAATTACAGAGTCCAACAAAGACAATCATTAGCACGCTTCCTTTTCTCCAATAGCTTAGAACCCTACCGAGCTGACACAGCAAAGCCAATCAACGCGCTGGGATCAGTTTGGACCTTCTGAGTGTCTGGCCCGCTTGGGCGGTGGCTCCTCACGAATATGAAGTTGAGACAAACCTGGCGGCTGTCGCTGCTGTTGTCCATGCACAGAGCGCACGTTGTTTTGTCTTGTGCTTTTATGTACTCTTTTGTGAAAGGTGCTTCACTACAATGAAGTTGGGACCAAAGGCCTTGTCCGGCTTTTTGTTGATGTTTGGACGTCAAACAAACTACAGTTTATGATCAAGGACCTCAAGCTGCGATCTGTGAGATTGGACCTTTCAAAATCAATACATCTATCTGATAAACCGCAAAAAACGTAAGAAAAGAAAACTGGATGATGATTAGGAGGAGGAGGAGGACTTGGAAAATGCTGCACACCCTTCTGTTGAACGACGTCTTCTCACCCGTTCCAGAACAACAAACACACAGTGGGTGGGAAACTTCATCTTAATCAGGCATGGGCCATCTACTACAGATCCCACGCCCCTTCTGCAAAGCTTGCACAGGAGTGCTCACAGCCAGCGAAGAAGATGCGTTCTCCTAGCGATGGCCGGCACTGGGGCAGGCCAAAACGATGGTAACAGGTAAAGCTGTGATTTAAAGGGTTGGTCTTGCTTCAAACAATTGCAAATACTGTATGTCACTGTTTGTACAAATAGGATTTAGAACATGGAAACTTTTGATGTTGCTAATTTCGGACAATCTTTTTATATGACTGACTTTTTTCATCCACATCTAACATCTTGCTGGTCTGTGCAAAACTTGACGGTGACCTTTGCCATAGTTTGTATGGGTTCAAAACCTGTCTTGAACACATGTGCCGTTGTTGTCTCGCTGATGGTAGTCGAACAAAAAACACGAACCACAGGACCCCGTCTGCTCGGTCCAACTGTAATTTTTCTGCAGTGCCGCACGTGGCAAGAACATGCAAAAACATCAACCTGTGTTTCTTTTGGAGGCTTTCCCCCCTCATGAGGACACCGGGATATTTCACTTTGTAATGTTGACCCACTTTGAACCAAACCATGCACAACAATCACCTCCACTACCCACCGCTAAAACACCATCTGCGTTAAAATGTGTTAACAAAACAAACAGGGTGTCGACGTTAGCTGTGGAGCATCAACATGATCATTGATGTCGCTGTTTTTGTAACTTCCTCAATCACTAATGGGGCCCTCGTTGGTTTCATCTGTTTCCAATGTTTTGCGCATCTGCCTCTGCTTCTCGCGCCGCACGGCGCTTGCGTATTGACTCCTGGAGCCAAGGCTGGGGAGGCTGCCGAACACACTCCAAACGGTGTTCCTCACCCAACTTTTGGTGTGTTTCCACAATAGGCCAATAGCAAGTACCGAAGCACACACACACAGGCCTAAGTGTTTGTCTTGTTTAAAGCTGATGAGTATACACATATAAGTGCAGCACCAACATGCTAAAGCAAAACAGGTGCCCTTGATGGAGGGCGTTGGGGATTTCCTCTTCCCGATGCCTTTCGGCAAAGCATGCTTTGCAAGTCGCAAAGGCTGCTTGGATTCAGACCTCAAATAATGGCCTAGAAATAGAGATCCCCCTTGTACAAAACGAAGCTTTAGCTATATAGTGGTTGTTCAACATTATTTCATGATGGAATGGCTGTTCTGTGCGAGAAAAACGATATCCTTTGCAGCCTCGTCGCGAAGTATGGTCCAAAAGAATTATATTTGTATATATTTGTATCAGATAGTGACTGGAGACACCTACACTTGCTACAGCAACCCTGGCGTCACTTGCAGCACCTGTGCAGCAAACATTGAGGAATATCCTGAAGGAGGCTTACTAAAGAGCCAGGCACAACTCAATCAAACCCTTCTGCCAGCTGCCAACACACTGCAGTGCAGCTCGGGGAATGTTAGGGGGTGCTCAAGTTTGGAACCGGAACCTTGACGTCACATTCAAAGAACTTTCGCAAATCTTTAGCGACAATTCGGTGATTTCGCCGAAAACACATATCATGCGCAAACATCTGTGCAACCTGTCAGGGCTGCGGATCGTTGTCCCGCTGTCTGGGCTGTGCAAGGGCAAGTTCAGTTTGTGATACTGTGACAGGACAAGAAATGGAGATTCCTTTACGCAGAGTGAGGGCTGGGCAAGGAAACGTTGAGGCTCCAGCTCGTTAGTCTGTGACAGTGGGGACATGTGGAGACACTTCCGCCCACATCCGCCCACCAGCCGCCTGAGAAGTGCCTTTGGAATGCATTTCCTACCACATGTCGGTAGAAAGAAAACAATCAATACGAACATGACAACCGCGAGAACATTAATCTTTCGTGAACCTCATCGCAAATCTTTCACGAATGGTTTGGATAGCGTCTACAAGATCGTTATATATATATAACCCCTTCCACACCCCTTTTAGATCAACTTATACATATATAATCGCAAAATGTATATATAAACATATATATATATATTATACATTCATTTCTATATAGTATTTGCATTTAGGATCATTTAGGAGGGGGTCTGAACCTTCAGGCCGTGCTCGCGGGTTCCTCAACCGCATCTCGATCAAGAAGACCGCCGCTCCCGGAATCCCACGTCCTTCTCAGGCGCCTTCGGCGTACTGGGCCAAGTGGGCTTCGGGGGCCTCGGAAGCCGCAGGGCTTGGTTCAGCTGATGGATTGATCATGGGGGGTTTTGCTTTGTTCAATCCTTCCACCTGGTTACATGGGGGCTAGCAATTCTCACCTGCTGGTGTAGGGTGCACGCGGTATGGTCTGGGGGGGGTATATGGTCAGTGAACTTTCATCGTCGACTTTTGGACACCTTCAAAGCTCAGAAACTTGAGGTATGGGACGCCCTTGTTCCAAAACTGTGGTCGTCCAAATTGAACCCAGCTGAAAAGGAAGCAGCTCCTCTTTTCGTGAGACAAACTCCTAAAGGCCCTTCTGCAACATCTGAAAAGAAAGCAGTTCCTCTTTTCAAGGACGAGGTGGCCAACATCATGTGCCAGTGTGGACAGGCCATACCTTTGCCGTTTGCCAAGCTTTTTCACACCCCCGGCCTGCCTTCTGAAACTGTTATGGCCAGGGCCGATCTCTTTTGGGGTCGGACCGGCTCACCCACCCACCCTTATGCTTCGGGCGTTGGGACAGAGCTCGTATCTGCGGCCGGGCTAGTTTCCACGCGACCGTTTGTAGGGAAACAATCTCATCTGATTTGCTAATTCCCAGATCCTCCAATATGTATTTCACTTGGTGGGTAGCTGGTGAGCTAGCCCTGGCATGTTGATGTAGCTTGATGACAACTTACACTTCTGCTGAACGCATGTTGTTGCGGGGATGTTAGATTATAGTCAATGCATCGGAAAGGCACATGCGACAAATCACATACCATCTGTGATAGTCCATCCCACTCCATTCCATGATGGTCCGAGTTTGGGGAAATAGACCCTGCCTTGCGGCACGAGTGAAGTCTGAGGAACCCCGAACCCCTAACTTGTCCCAACAAATGTCGAACGCAGCATACCCATAGACTCCATGGGACTGCCATATATGGCTACACTGGGGTGGTGCCAGGGGGTCTTTCTGGGGCGGCAGTCCTATGGCAGTCCCATTAGTCGTGTATGGGATAGTTTTTGGGGGTTCCTCAAAAATCGATCCACACCACGAGGCTTCTTCCGATGTCCACGTCCGGCCCGATCCGTCGATAGGGTTTGGGACCTCCCCCTTCCTCACCAGTGGTCCGTGCTGAACACCGCCTGGTACGGAGGAGGATGCTTCACCTGACAGCAGGTCGAATCTCTGTACAGTAGTAATACAAATGACAGTATAAAGTACTTCTGGTACAAACTTGTTTTTTTAAATTAGCCTCTATGCAATACTTCCCTACCATGCATCATGAACATCGGAAGTATCTGTCGAGTGGGCTAACCATTTCTGTTCACCGGGCACCCTTGCCGTTTTATCCTTCGTTGAACTTAAAACTACACATACAAATGTCAAACATGTGCAAAAGCACAGCTCCCTTGGCTCCTGTCACGTTCCCGAACGCCCAAAATCCTGCAGTGGTAGTACATGTACTTATAGAGTGAAACAAATCTAATGAATCGGCTTATATCACCTCACAAATGTAACCCATGATGGTGGAGGATGCAATTGCTCCCTTCATGCCCCAAACTGAACCGAATGCTCTTCCAGGGGATGTTGACCTGCTGTAGTCTTGGGAGTTCAATCCACGCTGTCAGACTCTGGGAACACTCATTGTACCATTCTATTGCAAACCATCCTATTGCATAGTCCGAATATGCCCAGACCGCGGCCAAACCAGGCAAAACTTTCAAGGTGGGTGATGTTTGTGGAGATGTTCACTTACCAGCTGGAAATGATGTGACCGTGCCTCCGTGTCTCCAAACCCTTTACGTCCTATTCGAGCTCAGTCCAACCCTGCGCAGTCCCACAACGGGCATCCGGGCTGGGCAGCCTCGGCGATCGGATGAAGCAAAAGATATAGAGTTCAGGGGAAGTCTTGGCCCCTGGAAAAACTGAGGACAAGTAAACGTGTTGTAAAGATGCAACAAATTAGTTAAGGCAACAATTTGACTCTACTTTCAGGGTTGCTTTTAACATCTAGAGTCTAGATTCCCAAACAAATATATGTTTGTGAACACTGTAAATACATGACATATGAGAGTTATGTTTTATTGGGTCGTTTCCAATTATACGAAAATGCACTATAATTCCAAGAACATTTTGTCGTCCAACTGGAAATTGAACCTTCCTTTTGACCCGAACTGGGATGAGAGCGATGTTTTGTTTCCAATTCAACGAAACACGTAGTATAATTACAGGGACGCTTTGTCTTCCAATTGGAAATCTAAAGGTGTGGAATTGAACTGTCCGTCATGTGGTTGGTTTCAGTTCTATATGTTTGCTCAAGCGTGGCCAGAAACTACCAAAAACGAGCGTGTGTGCGACCAAGGATTTAGCTGTGATTCGTCCTGTACCTACCTCGCGACCGATGTAGTTCCTGTGGTTGGCTCTTTTGGCCGGGTGCAACCAGGATTTAGCTGCTGTGGTTGGTTCTGTGCCCCCTTTTTAGGTCGGGGGCGACCAGGGATCTAGCTGCTGTAGTTGGATTTTTTGCTGTATTCATGAGCTGTGAAAGGTGCCTGTGGAGATGTTGGGGGCAACCCACCCGGGTCCTCTTTCAGACCATTTCAGAGCAGGTTCAGGCCTGGCTCAGGCCATCAATTTAAAAACAAGTTTTGCACTGCTTTGTTGTTTCCAACTCCACGCAATATGTGCTGCAATTACAGGAGCATTTTGTCTTCCAATTGGACATCTACAGGTATGGAATTGAACTTTCCTTTTGACCAAAGTTGGGATGAGAGCTATGCTTTGTTTCCAATTCCATGCAATAAGTACTACAATTCTAGGAGCATTTTTGTGTTGAAATTGGACACCAAATTAGGTGTGGTATTGAACTTTCCTTTGTCATGTGGTTGGTTCCAGCTCGTAATGTAATGTAATGTAGCTGCGTAGCTCAAACGTTCTGAGAGAGCTGAGAGCTGAGACCTGTTGAGACCTGTATGTGATTCCCCAACAAATGCACCGAGAAAGGTCCCGAACCGGAGAACCCTTTTGGATGACCCTTCGGAGCGATCGAAAAAGGTCCCGAGCAAGAGCCATCCGGTCCATGAGGCCTCCTGAGCTTGGGCGAGTTCAGTCGAGTTGCGCTCTCCTCGGCATGGAGGGCTTCTCACTCTCCACCTGGACGGACACTTTGATTTGGATGGTTGATGATGGTGTGAGAAACTCACAGTCTTCATCCCGAGCCTCAGAAACCAAAAGCACCAACCAGGAAACGAAGGACACACCAAGATGTGAAGGTATTGCTGGCAACTCCTTTCGGCGTTTTCGGATGTGGAACCTCGAACACATTCGATCAGCCCCAAAGTCCAGTTCTGAAAGCATTCCGGTTCTCGACTGTTTCAGAATGGTTGGCTCTTCCTGATGAGCTTTGATGCACATCGTGATGGATTGGGCACCGCTGCTGTGGCGCTCGAAAATGTGCCTCGATGGGCCACGCATATCGCAACCGACCAGACTTCGCCCACGAAAGCCTCGCCCACCTGAAATTCTTCGTCCACGTAGACAGGCAAAGGGCAGGCAGAAGCACAGGGTGCGGGCCTCGGCGTGAAAAAAGGCCTTGTCTTACGCCCTGCCGTTTTCTCAGCGTCCCGTCCCCCCCCCCGAAAAGGGAACAGAAAAGGGGATGGAATGGGAAAGAGAACAGATCTTGGAAGCTATATACAGTGGAAACAACCAAATGCGGTCGTTCTTTGTCACCTGGTTCACATTGACTTGTCACTCTTGGAAACGGACATCCAAGGCAACTAAGAAGTCCAACAAGTGATTGATGAACAAATGGATGATGATGATGATGATGATGATGATGATGATGATGATGATGATGACGATTACGATGGTGATGGTGATGCATGGTCTTGGATTGTACCATGAGGAATCTACACATGGAATTCCTGCATTGTCTGACCTGTCATCTATCGGAGGGCCAAGGGCCCCGAGAATCGGCTTGCCTCGCTTTGGGGATCTTTCCTCGACCTGCACCATCTCCGCGAAAGGAGAAAGGACAGTCTTGTGGCGGTCCATGCTGGGGCAGGAAGGGGGTCCACTTCCAACTCACCAAGAAACATGTGATTTGGCATTGACAGCACCGTTTGCAGTGACGCATTGTCTAGTCAGGTGACTTGTTGTGCCAGAAAAGTTCAAGAGTTAGGAAGACCCTTTCCCAAATGCTGGGTATGCCAATTGCTTTCCCTTTCCTTCTTTCTCAGCCTTTCCAGGCAATAGGTTCACCACGCAAAGACATTAGGACCACATACTAGTACATTGATTGTTGAGTGTGAGTTGTCCTTGGATCCATCACACGAGTCACCCCTGCCAGCATAGAACAGTAGAATCCATGTCGTTCTGGCTTCTACGCTAGTGTTTTTTGATATTCTGAAAGCTGCTGGAGTTCCTTCCCCCAACTCACCAGCTGTATCAAAGTCAGGCTTCTTCCGGCTGCCCCCCCAACAAGTTTTGACCTTCAGGACTCTCTCACGCGAAAAACACGTGTGAGTGTCTTAAAAACAACAACATATCTGTTCGGAGGAATGCTTGTGTCTATGTATCTGGTGTCTGTTTCAGCACGTAAACATGGGTACCCAGGGTACAGCAGCTATAGTCCCAGGGGCATGTCCCACTTTCTACTTGGACAACTTCACAGGTAGGATGCTTAAAGGAAAGCCTTTGCTCACAGTTCTATTTCCACACACCCATCAACTGTAATGATGCCGATGTCTTGTTCTTTGTACTCATTCAGGGCTTTGGGCGCAAGGAACTGCTGCCGAAGGTACTTGCAATCAGCACTAGTGATATAACAGCTCAGAAAGAATCTGCGCTCTTGTCCCAGGCCTCCCTTTGCCGTTCTTGGGAAGACTGCCTGCAGGAAAATGGTTGAAGTGATTGGCTTGGAATGACATCGCTACATGTAAGAACCCCTAGGCTAGGGACTACCTTTCAGTTTATATATTCACCACACATCATGGTGAACCATTAAATATACGCATACGCCCATGCATGACAGGATCAAGCATCAAAACCCGCCTGCGTGATTGAGCACAGGCCTTTTCAACACAAAACCCTAAACTCTATATCCTTAAGTAACAAAGGCACAAACCAGAACCTCCCCATGCATGTGGATGATGTGGTGAAGTAGGAAAGGGCCCCTAGAGGTTGGTCAAGCCTATGTACCAATATATCGACGTATATATATACACATAGATATATTGCAGTATGTAATTTATGTATTTATGTATATATATATATATCTATCCTGTTATGTACAAATATTTGCAAACATAAAGCGGTTGAACCAGCAGTGATGGTTTCAGCTCACACTCTGAAGACTATCTCCGGCACCGATAGTCTGATGTTCTCTGTCAATATACTTCATTAATAATGTACATTGTTGATGAATAAACCCCCCTTTTGAAAAGGATTTTTCAATTCAAATGGGGGGGGGTTACACAACATCAAGAGTCTACATTACATCAAAAGTCTTCTGCAAACAAGTTGAATCATGTAAGTTGTTGAATCATGTTTGTTTGGCATCCGCCCCACAGGATGCTTGGACTGGAGCTTGGCACCTCTGGCTTCTGCGTGTTCTCTTTCTCCCGCATCTTTTCGGGCTTGGGGGCCCGTCGCCTAGCAGCTTGAGGTAGCGAAAGAGAAACTAGAATGCAGTAGGGAAACCTTGCTTTCTGGCCCAAAGCCTCCAAGAATTGTGCGGACTGACCCACTGACTTGGCCACCAACCGAGCCTCAAAAACCTGAACGGATCCATAGGTATGTGGACGGTATAGGTTGATAGTTTGTTTTCAGGATGGATATGATCGAAAAGGACAACATGAAGGGATATGTTTATATACATTTATACACAAATAATAGATATAGATACATGTGGTTCTGTTAGATAGGCATATCAGTTCTGTTTAGAGCTTTGGGGGGTTCTATGGTCTCAACGTAGATTTCGTGGTGCTTTGCGGGGAAGGATGACTTACAAACGAGACTCCACCCGTTCCTGCCAATCTAAGGACCCCACGGCACCAGGCCACTGTTGCTGAAAATTGACCTTGGAAGGAAAGGTCTTGGGCCACCTGCTGAAAGCTTGAAACAACCCTTTAGCATATATAACTCACTTCCAGTCAGCAGGCCACAAGACTCTGGTTGATCAGCCCATAGTCGACGGCCACTTGGGATTTGTTTATTTCGATGATCAACAACAATGTAGACATGTAGACAGTCGGGTCAGCAGGGCGCCACTTGCACCTTCTTGTGGTTAACCCACAAGCCACCTTGACCAGGTAGTCTTGGAGGTATGGAATATCACTATCATAAGCCATGCGGCAATTCCAGTCTCTCCGTCTCTCCATTCATTTTTGGGGTTCCAGTCGCACGCGCGCCGGGCTTCGAACCCCATCCATCCAAAGTTCACCCCGCACTGCACATGCCCGGCTGGGCTGCTCCAAAAAAGCCGGGAATGGTTCCCATGAGCCGGTCACGTGCTCTGGATGGTTGTTGGCACAACCATCCAAACGCTGCCGAGTACTGTTTGCAGGGCAGCTTTGGTTGGGCAAGAGAGGAATTTCTGTCCAAACAGGACATCGATTGACACCAGTTCTTACCTGTTGAATAGTCTCAACTCAGAACTCGGGAATGCTGCAAGCAGCGGTCTCAAGTCTCAAGTGCAATATATTTGCCTGATGTCCTGATTGGGCCGCCTGGCTCATTTCAGGGGCTACTTGCACATAGTGACGTACAATGTCCAGCTTCTTTGTTGGAAGCTTAGCAGTTCAAGGCTTCGTCCAGTGACCTTGCCTCAACAATTCGATGTGATAGCTGCTTAGCTACATATAAGTCAATGCCAGCAACTATCTCATACATTGACAGCAACAGGGCAGGTTGGGACTGCTCAAAAATCCATTCTAAACCAGCGTCCACTGATGTCCACTGGGGCACCGGCTCCCGTGGCAGTTGGAGCTCATCGCCCTCTGTGTCTTCAAAGATGGCTTCTGGGCACAGTGAGATAAGGTAGCAAACCTGGTTGTTCGTTTGTTCCTATGGTCCTGCTGTGCTGGCACCTTCCGAACATGCTCTTTTGTTCGTAGAGAAAGGACCCCCAAAGCCCAAAGCTAACACATATTTTGATAGTTTTGTAGATCCGCAACATGTGGATAAAACTGGTTGGATCTGGCCGGGTATACATGCCCATGCTGGTATGAGGCATCACCTTGGTCTTTGTCCGAACAAAGGAACAACTCATATGTTGTCCCTGTAAGAGTAGGTTAGGGAGATGGACCAACAAGCAACCAAGTGCCAAGCCGAACACAGCTCTGACATGGGAAGTGGGATAGAACAATGCATAGTCCAGGCTCCCAGGAAAGAATTTGGAACGAGCATGTCATAACGACTTTCAAGCTTTCAGGTGTCCCTGCGGCAAGTCTTGAGGATGTGCCTGCGGCAAGTCTTGAGGATGCGCCACCCAGTCACGGAGCTGCCACCCCAGCTCTGAAAACACTGAAAAACCGTTGGCGGCACAGACCGGCACATTGACCAGGTGTCCCTGCGACTGCTAAAGCCGGGAACGCCACGCATGCGTGCGAGAGCCTTGGCTGGAAGGTGTAGGTCGAGAAGCAAACGCTTCGCACTGCCCATGCTGTAGTTTGTGTTTAGCAAGAGGCACAGTTGCATTTCCACGCTAGGATCAGATTTGTGGTCGTTTGAAGTATTGAAAGAACTCTGCAAGCAGTGATTGAAATGCATTCGACTTGCGCACTATCAACCTAAGCAAAAAAGTTAAGGTGCTGAGGTGCACATGGTCCTGCTATGTTCAGCGTGTCGTTATTTTTCTGAGTGAAAGCCTACATGGATGCAGCGCAAGAATATCGCCAACCATGGTCACGTGCAACGCAAATATATACAGTAACTATTCTACGTACTTAGTCCTCAAATACAAACTGAGGTACCAGGTTCCTGCAACCTGTTCCTCCCAAATCCTGAGGTCATTGTCTCTGGGCTTTCCAACAGGTCGTCCCGATGAAAGGCACCTACATGGCGCATGAGTCGGTCATCCGCGGGCTACGGATCGTCGAAGGCGGAGCGTTTTTTTGTTACCTCGCTCCGAGGTTCATTAGGCCGGGGCAGCAAGATCACTCAAGGGAAGCAAACTCACTCAGCTCGTCACATGTCTATGGCAAGCACTTTCTCTGAACCCACTGGCAACCAGGATGCCTAGGCCTATATATGCCTCTAGGCGCCTCAAGGACACGGTGTGGGAACACAACCAAAACCACCACGGTCAGCACGTCCCCAGGACACCGCGACACCTCCGCCGGTCGCCCGCTATGAGCCCCGTTCGGTTCGCGTCCGATCGCTCCGTTCGGTTCGCGATGCCAGGAGCCCCGTTCGTAGCGGATCCGCTCCTCGTTCGCGACCGGAAGTCGTTTGGGTTTCGGCACCTGGACTCGAAAGGTCGCTGCTCCTCTGGGCGATTCAACTCGCTCGCCTGACGGCAAAAGCGAGTAACAAGGGCAGTTTCAGCTGTCGGTGACAAGGGCATTACTACTAGTAGCAAGAAACTACTATATGGTGAGTTTGAGGAATTCCTGGGAAATTGGTTGTCCAGTTTCAGCTACAAGTTACCCAGTCAATGAATCAAATCGCTCCATGAAAAGAGAAGTGAATCAGTGATCATATTGTGGTAACCGCCACCGGCTGCCAGATCATGCATAGTCAGTGTGAGTGAGCCTCCTTAACTCATCCAGTGTAAGGCATGGAGAAAAACGCAAACTTGCGTAACGCATACCCCCGAATCATCATCATCATCATCATCATCAACATGGGATCGTCCATACTTGTGCCTTCCTGCAAGAATCTGCAGAGTCGCCATGTTGGTCGGACGTTCAAGATCTGAACGCAGTACCCGGGACCGGGTGTGTGGTAATGGATCCATTTCGGGTCGTACCCCACTGCGGTTGCTCTTAGCTACACTTGTTACTGCCTCATCCAAACTGCAAAACCATTCCGGAATAATTTTGTTAACTGAAAAACAAGGTCATCGATGCTACTCAGCACTTGATTTCACACGGACCTGGTTTATTGGACTGACCTGGATGTGTCCCGCTCCAGACCGTTCCAAACACTGTTCTTGGCTTAAAAAAATGGTTGGAGACAAACAATATCAAACATTATCAAACACAACTCCGCATGGCCTGATCGCGAAGAAAAATTGTCATCAAACTTTTAAGCTGAGTTTCCGCACACCTGATGTCTTACTTGCACTCTATTGTTTACTCTTCTTGCTTGCTCTGAACAAAAGATGCGTTGTGGGGCCTGGGAAACCTTTTTTTTCGGCACGTGCCTCATCACTGGTGATGGGGTTCAGCGCAGGACGGCCTCAGTCAACCAGAGTCAGAATCTGGGTTTGTCAAACCCTTCCATGGGGCTCACAAATCACAACACACCTTGAATAAACACACACGTTATTGCGGCTGATGTCCTTATGTTCAGCGGAAGTTTCCTATTTACTGACATACTTGTTATACTTGTCGCGGAAGAAACACCTTGGCGACGAATCGATCAATGTGCTGCACTTCTCTCAAGCCAAACCTCCTTGAACACTATCAGCACAAACACACACACACACCGTGAATTCATTGCATCAGAACTGCAGCTGACTTGGGCTGCTTCATATGCTCTTAGTTGAACTTGGTTGAGTTGCACTTGGTCTTGTTCTTCTACAATATCCTGGAAAGCTCTCTCACGTATATATATATATATATATCATATTGTATATATGTTATAAACGTATAAACACTCTGACATTGGTTTTCAGTTAACTCAATTGCCACGTTGGGAAGGAAGGTGAAGAACGGTAAGGTGAAGAGTCCGCAAAACTTGTAGATGTTTGAACAAACTGGTTTGAAGTCTGCAGAAAGCACTAAAACGAAACGCTCACGAAAACGCGCGGCTCGGTTGCAAGAACGCGGTGGGAAGGTTTAGGGGGAGTATCATGAAGAACCATGAAAGCAAACAAGGTCAATTGGACAGCTTGTTCAACCGTTAAAAGCAGGTACACATCCATGGCCAGTGGATGCTTCCCTCTCTGATGCCTAGCTTCGTTGGACAGAGTAGCATCAGAGAGCTACACACACACGGTGCCGCTTCGCGGCGCGCATGTGAAAGACCTGAATAGTCACCTAAAAAGCCTTAGAAACGAAAGAAAGAAAGACAGAAAGAGCAGCGCTAAGAGGGCAAGAGAGAAAGATAGGTGTAGAAAAGTGAAAAGGTGAATACTTAGCCCTTGACTGGGGTAGGGAAACGAACCTCAAGAACAACCTAAAAAGCCTGAAAGATAGCCCAACAAACGACGAAAAACGCAAGAAGGAAAGCGGGGGGCAGGGAGGGGGTGTATGTCCATGTGTGTGTGTTTGAATACCTAGCACTCTAGAATTACTGAATACTTAGACGAAGTGAATTAGGTGCACTAGTTAGGGAGCGGGACTTTAGTCTTAGACCGCCCGGGTAAGATAGACTAGAACAGGAACAACACAGGGAAAGGCACCGACACACAAGTGTGTCGAGTACCACTTCCCTATGTTGCCCTAAATAGGTAGGGAGTAGAACTCGGCTGGGGGGGGGTTGGGAAACCTGCCTCATTGCGGGTGGATTACCGTTTTATAGCCCGGCGGCTCTGGATTTGGTGGTTGAGATTGTCCGTTTTTTGGCCCGGCGGCTCAAAAGTCCGTTAATTCAGTTATGAAAGTGAAGAAACAAAGGGTCAGTTATAAAAATGAAAGATCGATGCTTTCCGGCATGATAGCAGCGCCTCCTTTCGGAGGGTCACACCCAGCACCCAAGTGGGAAGACTGAGCGGCTCACACTCTGACATTGGTTTTCAGTTAACTCAATTGCCACGTTGGGAAGGATTGCCACGTTGGGAAGGAAGGTGAAGAACGGTAAGGTGAAGAGTCCGCAAAACTTGTAGATGTTTGAACAAACTGGTTTGAAGTCTGCAGAAAGCACTAAAACGAAACGCTCACGAAAACGCGCGGCTCGGTTGCAAGAACGCGGTGGGAAGGTTTAGGGGGAGTATCATGAAGAACCATGAAAGCAAACAAGGTCAATTGGACAGCTTGTTCAACCGTTAAAAGCAGGTACACATCCATGGCCAGTGGATGCTTCCCTCTCTGATGCCTAGCTTCGTTGGACAGAGTAGCATCAGAGAGCTCTGTCCCCCTGCTTTAAATTAGACCCTTGGAAACAGGGTTTGACACACACACACACATACTGTACCCAAATACCAAAAAACAGTCCTACCCGTGTGCAGTTGTGGTTGGGGCCGCATTCTGGTCGTTATTGAATTTGGCCTGCTTCCAAAGCCCTTGCTGATATGGCCAATCCTCCTGAGGGGGAATCAGGAAATTGGTCCATACAAAGAGTTGGGGACATCAATGTGCTGTTTCCAGCGTGGCTTGGTCAACCCTTGCTGATCCTATCCGAATACGACAAGTTTGTTGGGGGAAGTCCTTCCAAAATTGCTTCAAAAAACCTAATAACAAGAACATAACCCAAAATTGAAATCGCTTGGCAATTATATGAATGCAACCATACCCAAAAGAAGTGGCGGCCACTTCAAGTGGGTTGTTGCATGTGGTTATGTCAAAACACGTGTGCAACTGCCTACGCTGCTTGTGCCACTGCCTAAGCTCTCTGGCGAGATCGTGGAACCTCCTGAAGGGTCAGCATCCTAGGGCCTCGGCCGTGTCAGGGTCCCTCGAACGATATGATACACATCGTTCCAGTGCACCGCAAGTTTCCCAGGCGAAGTATGTCCAATATATCCATGGTTTGTTTGTATATATATATATATGTGATTATATATGCAAATACACATAGACCAAGGCAAACACATGCAAAACACATGATGCATGAATGCTGGCCACGAATGAAGACCTCATAGGCAACAACAGGATCTTACAGGTCACCATGTTCTTCAAAAAGAAACCATGCATATGAATACGTACTTCTTCTGGCCACGGGACATGTCTCGATCACAGCTGTCACACCCACTCACCCGTTGCCACTCACCCGTCACCAGCGGCAGTGCCTCGCCGTGGATCTGCCTCGATGCCCAGCTCTTCCATGCGCCTGGAGGGCCCAGGTGGTGGCGGCGGCAGCCGCATGTGACATGCCAGACATGCCAGACATGCTATCGCCGGGTTCAATCCCCTAGGCAAGTGCAAAACTGGACATGAAAATGAAACAAACACAGGTTGTTTTTTGTGGTTTGACAGCCAGACTTGCCATGTCTCTTCATGAAGATGTGTTGATCAAGTGTCGGCTATTTCCTGGACAAGTACTTCCGAAGTCCTTGACTAACTTAATCAGTTATCAGTTTTAGGCCGGCAATGAAATGCTCAAACTTCCAGTTTCACTTATGGGTTCAACTGGCCAAACCACTGAACAAACTGCACAAACAACAAATGAACGGTATCATTATCACATTGGATTCTATGACATCAAATCTCCTGGACCCCAACAAAAAGTCTTAACACATCTTGAACATCCCACCCCTCACATGTCGCGGGGCGGTTGGAGAACAGTTCGGCCGTTCGGCCGTTCGGCCCGCCCCGCTTCATCAATGCTTCTCGCAAGGCATAAAGTCCTCGAGTCTCCATGGCGATTCGCGATTCGCGAGTGAGTCGGATCAGAGAAGAGTGGATCGAACGCTGGATGAACATGATGAACGGCCTATAGGGATGTTCAACGGGCACTTAAATGAACAAGACCCCAAGAACTGCAGCAGTATAGCAGATCGGATTCAGGATTGCAACATATTGCAACACCTGCTCACCTGAGATCACACATGCAGCGATCCACATACCTTTTGTAAAGGTGTTTGGGAATGTGCGGGTTGGGTTTTAAAGGTCTAGCTACATTCTGAGGATATATTTGGATCCAAAGAACAAGAGATTGGTGAAGCCCAGTACTCTTGCTGCGCAAGGCGTTTCTACAACCTACCACACCCTTTGCTGGGGGATATGATGGAAAGCAGCATGTCGGAAGGAGCACCAGAGATGTTCGATTTGGACATTTCTGCTGAAGCTGGCCGGGGTCCAATGGCCACCGGTGGGTCCTGCCCTGAGACGATGTTTCAACGGCTGGTTGTACAAGTGTAAGATCGGATCAATACATTTTTGTGTTTGGCCTTGAAACACCAGTTGAATTCGATTGTGTGGGAGAAATCATTGCTGTGTGGGTTCTTAATGGGCGGCAAACAGTTCAAGCGTTTTCTAGCATGGTGGTGTTGGCACATACGTCTCATGCATACATACTTGGTCTCTTTGGTCTCATTTTGGGTATCATGTGAGCAGGTGCCAACCTCATGTTGACATCTTTTCTTTGAATTCACCTCTATAGGGGCCCACAAATCCCACTGTCCATTCCGAAACCGCCGGACATGGGGGACGTCATAGGACAGCCAATGAAAAAAGAGCTCCGCCATGCTGACTTCCCCACTTTCCCAGGTTTCTTTTGGAGGGTCCAAACTATAGCCTCTGACTAATTAGGTGCAACAGCAGCCACAGGCACGACCTTTTGGCGAGAAGGAAAGAAAGAAAAAGGTCCAAACTATTGTCAGATGACTGGGCTTGAAGACCACAGTCATTCAAAAAAGCGTCCTGGGTTTTGGTCGCTCCCCCCGCCATCTGCGGAACCGGAAGGCCATCTCCCGATCTCCGTTTTGGTCGCTCCCAGTGGCGATCGTAATGCTCCCGCACGAAGCGGCATTGGAACATCCCATCGAAGAGGAGATCTTGAGCCTGACGACGAATTCGGGGGATGCTCCCCAGTGGAATGGACCAATGAATCCGGAGCAGTTCATGGAATTCGGCACACGGTTCAGTATGGTTCCGTGGTTCAGCCGGGCTCAATCGTTAATCTTCCAGAGTGCAGGATGACTTTGACATGTACGCAGCTTTAGTTCAAACAACCCCTGAATGCACCAGATTCCATGACAATTGGTGGTTTCTGTCAAAACCTTTCACACATCGCAATCGGTAGACCTTGGAATGCTATTTCTCTCTCGACATCAAAGGTAGCATAGACAAGCACACATGTTCATCGCTAGTAGGTTGGAGGCCACCGCTATTTTGTTTGATAAAAATCACAAAAATAGGGTACCCCTCCATAGATAAGCACACATGTTCAGATTGTGTACATCCCAAAATGTCATTGCTTTTCAGCGCGCAGGTCGACGGAATCGCAAACCTCGCCCGTCGCCCATCCACAGCTTTCACGGCCTTCTGGTATTCCTTTCGCTTCTCCAAGACGAAGGCCCACTCCTGCTCCAGAGCCATCACGGATGTTCACCATGCCCATGGGACACCCAGACACGACCCATGGGACTGCCGGACTGCCGCCCCAGACCCCCAGTCAACCACCCCTGGCCGTTTCTCGGCAGTCCTATGGCAGTCCCGGGGTCGTGTCTGGGACATATTTTACCCCCTCTCTCTCTCTCTTCATCTCTCCATCATGTCTCTCCGAAGGTGAAACCGTCTTAAGACCGAGCCAAACGTCTCGCTGCGCAGCGCTGCTTCAGCGCTCCTCGTAGAGAGCGGGCTCCCGCTTGCCGATGTCATTGGTGAACAAGAACAGGAAGATCTGCGTTGGAAGATCATGAAATCATCAATCCAGCTGCTGTGCTGGGCAGGTTAGTATAGCATTTCGTGCCTGCCCCTTTCTCATGAAGTTGCACATTTTTGCTGTTACAGTACCTTGCATTGCCTTGATTCCATCACCCGACCAAGGGTTTGGCCATGCAAGAAAAACGCGCCCCATGTTCTTTGTAGGTTGGAAAGGCTCTGGCAAGTCACGCGAAACAAAGCAAAAAAACACACCAAAAGATATCTAAAGGTCAGTCGAAGGACCCTTTTTGGAGGGGAATTTCAACTCATAGAAGGACCCTGGAGTCTCAGCGATGTCTTCACCCGACAACTCGGAAGCATCGATCGACATCGAGGCCCGCGGCCATCGACCGAGGCCATCCCGATCTCGGAGCCGAGGTCACCGAGGCCGGAAGCAAACAAACATTTCACAAAGGTTCCGAAACAACAGCATATCTTTGTCATGAGTTTGTTCCCCTTGTGTGTTCAATGAAGCTTACTCAATGAAGCAAACAAGGTTCATCAAATTAAATAGAGCCTCTAGAAACCATCTACCAGTCTTAGGGGAGTCTAGTGGCTAAATTTTTCAGACTTGCAATGCTGGCAAAGATGTTTCCCTTTCTCATCGGCTATCATCAAACAGTAATAAATGCAACAATGGATACATCATGTTCGGCCTCTTGTGGCTCTTTCTCCATCGCTGCCAAGCGAAGCCACAACCTGCGGCACAGCACACAGCAGGGATTCACTATGCGTTGTGGTTGCTGCGAGGACTTTATGCTGGGAATGTGGTGTGGAGGCCATCGCCAATAGGTTGGAGGCCATCGCTACTAGCTCGTGGACCTGCCGGTGGCCTTTGTGCGAAGTCGAATGTACTCACGAATACTGATCCCGTCTTGGGCATCCCCCCAAATGGCGGCACTGCTGCTCACTCTTTTTAGGATTGATCAATAATAATACCTTGGAGATGCCTTAGCTAAGGGCCTTAGCCTCAGCATCACCAAATGATGATGGTGATGATGATGATGATGATGGGTAGAACCGACCAATTCTACGACACACACACACCAACAACTACAATGGCAAATCTTAACCTTCTGCTAGTGGAGTGCAAAAGACACATCCAGCCCACATACTGTGCCCATTAGCATTGGCTCCTCATGTTTCCAAGGCCAAGACTTCAAGTGGTTCGGGTTGGCGTTGAACTGGGGCCTGGGCCGCCAGCAAACTTGTGGATTGTCTCCTATGGCTATGCTCCAAGGTTGAGTAGAAACAAAGACCATCGTGCTGGGACGCCGCCACTATGAGGTGGGGGTGGTTGGTAAAGTGGCAGCATTTGAGAAGAGTTCGACATCCTGGGCATGTTCTGAAAGAGTTGTATTTCAAGGTGCTGGCTTTTCAGAGCGCTGGCATAGAAGAATGTGCAACTTGGGTTCCCAAGGTAGATGTTCCCAGGAAGAATGCATCCAGGACCGCCTTAATGGTCCTCTTCTATATAATATAGTATATACTATATAATCATATATAATCAGGTCAACCGCATACACACACTTCGAACTTCGAACTTGGGTTTTCAGTTAGACTCAATTGCCACGTTGAGAAG